CCCTCAGAGCCTTCCCCTGCCCTTGCTGGTCACCTGCTTGTGCCCCTTCTTTCCTCAAGCCTAGGGACAGCATTTAGCCCAGCTGTGGGAGCGAGGGGGTGGGATGAGGACCTTCCCAGGGCTCACTTTGGGAGGGGGAGTGCATACCTGCTCCTCCACCATGAGATATTTGGGGCTCCCCCCCTTTCCCAGGGCCTTCTGCCTTCTCTGCTAGGACTGAATGTTATTTAAAAGAAGATCAGGAGATTTGCCTTAAATAGGCATGGAGTGCTGTGCCCAGGCCCAGGCGGAGGGGCGGGGGAGGGGAGGAGGCCATCCCAGAGGAGGAGAGAAAGGAGGGAGCCGAAAAAGAAGAGAACAACCTCCCCAGGGGTGTGCACAGCCCTTCACAGTTTACCACGAACGGTCCCAGTCTGCAGATACCTGACAGGGTCTTTTTGCTGCAGCCCCCAGGAGTGGGGAGGTGTTCAGGGAGGCTAGGAGCCCAGGGATGGGGCCTCCCCTGACACCTGCCCCCACCATCAGTCCCCAGACCTTTGGCCCCTGCCCCCGGGTTGCCCCTGCCTGTTCCCCCAGCCCCAGCTTGTAACTGGACGCCCTCCTCACTCTGCACCTTCCCAGGTGAGCTGGGGCTCTGCTTACTGAACCCAACACCGGCTGGGGGAGGGAAGCGAGGGGACACCGCAGGGGTGGGCCTTTGCCTAGAGGCTGAGGCAGAAGGAGGGGAAGGAGTCCAGGCTGTCACTCTCAGCCCTCAACCCCAGGGCTAGTGTGGCTCTCAGGGTCCCACTTTCCTAGTCTGGGTCACCTTCTAAGCCCCGCCCCCCCATCTAGGCCTGGCCGCCAAAAACTCTGGGGGCTCAGGGGGCCATCTGTGTCCCAGCAGGGGATGCTCTTAGAATCATAAATGGAGTCTTGCTTGTGGAGTTTCTGGGACAGAGCCAGGAGGCCAGGAAGCAGTCCATGTTCCATCCTTTGTGCAAAGGCCCTGAACACCAAGGTGAGGCCTCAGACACCTGGGTGCCCATCCTGGCTCTGCCATTTACAGCTGCATGACCCAGGGCCAGCCACCTTGACTGCAAGCCTGGCCACCTCCTCTGTAAACCGAGTCTAAAGATTGCGCTCCTAGAGTTGTCAACGATGCTTTGCTAAGATACGGCAAATTGACTGCAAGCCTGGCCACCTCCTCTGTAAACCGAGTCTAAAGATTGCGCTCCTAGAGTTGTCAACGATGCTTTGCTAAGATATGGCAAATGCGCTGACTGACCAGGGCCAGGACCTCAGGTTTGTTGGGAAAAAAACAGAGAGGGCCAGACTGCCCCTCCCCTTCCCCATGGTGGGTGGGCACAGCCGGGCTGCTCCAGGAGGCGGGTGGGAAGGAAGGCTTTGTGAAAAGGGGCATTCATTTACTTGGGCTGCTGTTAATGCTCTTTGTTATTCATCAGAGACCATCAAGAGAGGAGGTGGGGTGGCCCCTACAGGTGAGAGTAGTGTAGACAAATCTGAGCTAACCTACAGCAGCGGTCCCCAACCTTTTTTGGCACCAGGGACCGGTTTCTTGGAAGACTATTTTTCTACCAACTGGTAGGAGGGGTGGAGGAGGCGGGGTGAGGAGGCAGAGCTCAGGTGGTGATTTGTGGCCCTATTTTCCTAACAGGCCATGGACTGGTACCTGGGCCATGGCTGGGGGTTAGGGACCGCAGACCTAGAGGGTTTACCAGGTCCCTGCCCAACCCCAGCTCTCCAGTCATGGGAACACCATTGATTGGCTGTTATCCCCACTTCACTAATGGTGAAACCAAGGCTCAGGAGATTTAGGCAGAACATCTAAGGTCATGCTGTCAGCAAGAGATGGAGCCAGTACGTAAACACAAGAATCTGGCTTCAGGGCTCTCTTCTGCCTTTGCAAAAACCTCAGGACCCTGTATCTGGGACTTGGGTTCCAGACACAGCTTGCAGTGCCTTGGCCAAGTCACCTAACCTCTCATCGAGTAGTTTCTCTCTTCTTTTTTGTGTGTGTATATGTGAGACAGGGTCTCACTCTGTCCCCTGGGCTAGAGTGCAGTGGCATCAGGATAGCTCACTGCAACCTCCAACTCCTGGGCTCAAGTGCTCCTCCTGCCTCAGCCTCCCGAGCAGCTGGGACTACAGGTGTCTGCCACCACACCTGGCTAATTTTTCTATTTTATAGTAGAGATGGGGTCTGGCTATGTTGCTCAGGCTGGTCTGGAACTCTTGGCTTAAAGCCATCCTCCCGCCTTGGGCTCCCAAAGTGCTAAGATTACAGGCATGAGCCCCCACACCTGGCCAGGTTTCTCTCTTCTTAAGATGGAGACAATTGTCCCACCCTCTTCTTTGGGTTATTGTGAAAAAAAACCAAGAGGGTTAATGAGTACAGACCGTGAGGCACTCAGCAGATACCTGGTGGAAGCTTCCTAACAAAGGAAACTTCCCAGGCCTCACTGGCAGCCCGCAGCTCCTGAGGTGTCCCTGTGCCCCGCAGGACTGGAGACTGGGAGACAAAGGAGCTGCCGGTCTCTGCAAAGGGCTTGAGTGACCACTTGGCGCCACCTAATGGCCTGTGGCATGTGGTGCTTGGGGAGCCGGAGGGCCTGGCTGCTCTGGGACTGGGGGTCTGATTATGACCATTGGCCCGGTAGGGATGGGAAAAATATACCAGGACCTCAGAAGGGATAAGGTCAGGCCTACCTGGCACCCCACTGATGGAGGGTGAGGGTGAGCACCCCACTAGTCCTGCCATCTTGGCCTGTCAAGGTCCCCTCCCCACATCTTGGTGGAGACCCACAGGGTTCTAGTTCCAGCTCTACCACTGAGAAGCTCTTCCTGCCCCAGCTACCTCTTCTGCAAAATGGAAGTAAATATTCCCCACCTTTCAGAGCCCTGTCACTGCCCCGTGCCTCTGTTCAGTTATCAGACATTCTATGAGGCATCCACTTTCAGGAATCGCATGCTGAGTGCTGTGAGACATCTGAGACAGGTCTCATGGTACCAAGGGATCCTCCCCATTCTGTGGGGAGACCAGACCACTTATCTATTGCTCACCACCCTCGGCTGCAGGTCCCGGAGGCACTGAAGAGGGAGGGAAATGAGTGGGGGGTGGGCAGCAGAAAGTGGGACTCACCCCCCACCCCCAGGTGAGTGTTTTTGAGAGGTGGCAGGGACTGTATCTAGTCAGGTCATAGGATTCTTTTTCTCTCTCTGCCACACCCTCTGGCCTGGCCCCCTGCCTGCCTCCTAGCTGGGGACTGGTTGTCCCCTGCTCAGCCCCCTACCTTGGGCTCAGCCCCCTCAGATCCAGGCCCACCTGCCCCAACTCCCACCTTCTCTTGCATTAAAGCCTTTATTTTATTTATTTATTTATTTTTTTGAGATAGAGTCTCGCTTTGTTGCCCAGGCTAGAGTGCCATGGCGTCAGCCTAGCTCACATCAACCTCAAACTCCTGGGCTCAAGTGATTCTGCTGCCTCAGCCTCCCGAGTAGCTGGGACTACAGGCATGCGCCACCATGCCTGGCTAATTTTTTCTATATATATTAGTTGACCAATTGATTTCTTTCTATTTATAGTAGAGACGGGGTCTCACTCTTGCTCAGGCTGGTTTGGAACTCCTGACCTTGAGCAATCTGCCCTCCTCGGCCTCCCAGAGTACTAGGATTACAGGTGTGATAAAGCCTTTAAAGTGAGCCTTCTGCTCCATCAGGGGCAGTTCACACCTGCTCTGTGCATGTGCACTGCCACTGCGAAGTTCCTCTCTCCTGCCTTCCCCCGGCGTGTCCACCTGTGGGAGAGTGGAGAGGAGAGTGGGCAATCCCCACAACTAGGCAGGAAACTGAGTCCAAGGTTCCCACCCACCCTCAGCAGGGGTGCAGACACCCCCTGCATCAGGGCTGCATTCTCAGCAGTGGTCCCTGCCTGTATGTCATTCCCTGGCAGTCAGCGAGGTGCCCACTGAGGCTTCAGAGAGGCGGGGGCCCGATCCTATTCTAAGGGGCTTCCTGGTGAAGGGACAGGCCCACAGCAAATCACAACACAGTGTCTGCTCCGAGGCAGGAACTGACCATTCTGCCTAGAAAGGGGCAGGGCCAGATCCTAGGAAACAGAGGAAGTGAGTCTGGAAGGGTTAATCTGGACATTTCGGGCTGGAAACTTGTAGCAAAGTTGAGGTGTTTGAGGAGGGAGGCATTGGCATGCAAGGCACCTGGACGTCTCTGCTGGACCCTGTCATCGGACCCTCCCATCGTGCCTTCTCTGGCTTATCCCCCTCATTGTGGCTCGAATGTCCCCTCAGAGTCTCTTTCTCAGACCATCCTGTGAATTCTGCCTACCCCCCAAGTATCCTCTTTTACTGTGGTTCCCACCCCCAACGCCCGGGGGCCACAGAGGTCCGTCCGTGGCCTGTCAGGAACTGGGCCTCACAGCAGGAGGCAGGCAGCTGGTTAACCAGCAAAGCTTCATCTGTATTTACAGTCACTGTCTCCTGTCCCCCCTAGATGGGACCATCCGGGGGTCCGCAAACTTTTTAAACGGGGCCAGTTCACTGTCCCTCAGAGCGTTGGAGAGTGTGGCACACATTCCGCACATGCGCGCTGTGGGCCCTGGACGAGTCGGATGCTAAGCAGGACAGGCTGCAGCGGCAAGTGGCCCGAGGGCCGTAGTTTGAGGACCCCTGGCTCTAGTTGCAGGAAAACAAGCTCAGGGCTCCCTCTGATTCTGCATTATGGAGAGTTGTATAATTGTTTCATTATATGTTACAATGTATTAATAATAATAGAAATAAAGTGTACAATAAATGTAATATGCTTGATTCATCTCAAAACCATCCCCACCCTCGTCTATAGACAAATTGTCTTCCATGAAACCGGTCCCTGGTGCCAAATGTTGGGGACCGCTGCTCTGTTCCTTCTTCAGATTACTTAGCACTTGTCACAGTTTGCGATCATCTTCTTACTTGCTTCCTTGTTTATAATTGTCCTCCCTCCAGTTCTCTCTCTCTACGCGTCCTGAGGGAGCACCTATCTATGTGGTTTACTGTCACATCTGCGGTATCTAGCCCAGTACCTGGCATCATGGGGGAACTTGGTAAGTACTTTCGAATACACGAACATGCAGGATGAGCAGTGGTCTCCTTCATTCCAGTATGACCAGGCAATTCCTGGGGATATTGTCACCTTTGTTCTACCTGCTCTAGTCCTGCCCCCGTGCTCTAAGCAGGTCACCAGGCTTTTGTGCTGCTTTGCCTCAAGTCCAGAAGCTACCTGGGGACGCCGTCTGGATCTAATTCCTTTAGGGGATGATGCTGGTGGGAAGAAGAGGCAGAGAGATGGAGGGTCCCTGAGACTGGGGAGGGGTGAGGGTCCTGGGAGCAGGAGGTGGCAGGGTTCCAGAGGGCCGGGCAGGAGGCACCTAGAGAGGCTGTGGCTCTCAGAAAACCCCTCCCCACCCTGTTCCCAAGCCCAGGTGGCAACTACTCGTGCGTGCCTGTCCGTGCTGGCTCTGGGGTGAGAGGCTGCTCCTGCTAGCCCCAACCCCCATCCTGACTGAGAGGGGGTTATCCTACACCCCCAGGGGTGCAGGATAGATTAAGTTAGATTAAATTAGATGTCAAGAACCATAAGGTTTCTTGTGCATGTGCCTCACAAGATAATGCATTCTTGCGGCCTGGCCTGAGGTGCGGGTGAGGGCCAGGGACATCTGTAGCCCCCCCCCCATGGGGCACTCCCCTGCCTTCCTCCAGGGCCCTTCTGGAGAGCATTTTCCCAACAAGAAGGGACTGCTGAGGAGAGGACTTTCTGGTGCCCACGTAGTCTCATCTCTAAGCAGGGCAGGTGCATATGAGACCAGGGAAAGCTGCAGTCGGCCCTGGATGAGGGCAGGAGCTGGGTGGGTGAGGGTGCCCCAGCAGTGCGTGTGGAGGGGCTGCCCAGAGAGAGGAAAGTCCCAGGAGAAAATGCAGAAGAAGCAGGCTCATTAAACAACAGAAGTCCAAGATAAAACAAAAAAAAAAGAAAAAGAAGCAGGCTCACGCCTATAATCCTAGCACTTTGGGAAGCCAGCCTGGGAGGATCACTTGAGGCCAGGAGTTCGAGACCAGCTTGGGCAACATATAGAGACCATGTTCTCTAGGAAAAATTAAATAAAAAAAACTAGCTGGGCGTGGTGGCACCCTGAGGGCAGGGCCTCTTTGATCTGCCCAGAGCTGGATGTGGGAAGAGGGCTGTGTAGTGTGGGCAGATTAAGAACATCCTGGCACATAAATGGCACCACATTTAAAGATGCCCATCCCCTCCTTTAGGTTGGAACCACCATCTTCCAGCAATTCACCAAAATAACAAACACAGAGGGAAAGAGGAGAGGCTCCTGCTGTATGTTCTCTAGGCCTTTTAGAAAACATGGGGTTACTCTTTTGGCCACATACACACAAATCTACAAGATAGGTGACGTTGCCGACATCAAGGGAATGGGTACTGTTCAAAAAGGCATGCCCCACAGATGTCACCATGGCAAAGCTGGAAGAAAAGTCTATGCCGTGACCCAGCGTGCTGTTGGCATTGCTGTAAACAAAGTTAAGGGCAAGATTCTTGCCAAATGAATTAACGTGCGTATTGAGCATATTAACCACTCTGAGAGCTGAGACAGCTTCTACAGCTTCCTCAAGTATGTGAAGGAAAACGATCAGAAAGAGAAGGAAGCTGGAGAGAAAGGAACCCGAGTTCAGCCTGCTCCTCCCAGAGAAGCACGCTGTGTGAGAACCAGTGAAAAAGGAGCATGCTCCCTAGGAATTCATAGCGTCATTGGTATATATATAAAAAAAAATAAAAGACTACTGGCCTGTAAAAAATGTTTCTCTTCATTGTGGAGAAGTGTGGTATCCCCTTCCCCAAAGAAATATTTAAAGCAAATTTAAATGTGTCCCCAAATAAATACATAAAGACCCCCCATGGTTGCCCACTTGTTGCAGGGCAGGGGGTCACCCTTAGGGACTTCGTTCGCTTCTGCTCCTAAGAGTGTCTTCTGTTTAGAGCAGGGAAAAGGGATCACACCACAGAAAAACAATTCACTCCTCCAGGTCTGGAAGGGTGGTGGCGAGAGCCAGCCAGGCAGAGGTGTTCCGGGGGTCAGGTTGGCACCCCTCTGAGCCACTTCATCTTGTCTGCCAAGGAGCTGGTGTAGGAAACAGACAGGACTGTGCTCTAAAGACATCACAGTGACTGGGTGTGGTGGCTCACGCCCGTAATCCTAGCACTTTGGGAGGCTGAAGCAGGAGGATTGCTTTAGGTCAGGAGTTTGAGACCAGCCTGAGCAAGAGTGAGACCCCATCAGTACAAAAAATAGAAAAGTTAGCCTGGCATGGTGTCACACACCTGTAGACCCAGCTACTTGGGAGGCTGATGTAGGAGTTTGAGGTTGCAGTGAGCTATGGATGCTACTGTACTACTATGATGCTACTCTAGCCAGGGTGACAGACCAAGACTTTGTCTCAAAAAAAAAAAAAAGACATCACAGTGACCATTAATGATTATAAATGTTAAAAACAGTTATAGATGGAGTTCCTTCCATGTCAGGCCTTTTTAACAATGCTATGTGAAAGGACAGTTACCACCTGCACCTTATAGGTGAAGAAAGCCTCTCAGAGAGGTTGCATAACATGCCTAAAGCCACACAGCTGGCTAGTGGCAAAATCAAGATGGAAAACCAGGCTAGGTGCAGTGGCTCATGCCTATAATCCTAGCACCCTGGGAGGCTGAGGCGGGCGGATTGCTCAAGGTCCAGAGTTCGAAACCAGCCTGAGCAAGAGTGAGACCCTGTCTCTACTATAAATAGAAAGAAATTAACTGACCAACTAAAAATATATATAGAAAAAATTAGCCGTGCATGGTGGCGCATGCCCGTAGTCCCAGCTACTCGGGAGGCTGAGGCAGCAGGATTGCTTGAGCCAGGAGTTGAGGTTGCTGTGAGCTAGGCTGACACCATGGCACTCACTCTAGCCTGGGCAACAAAGTGTAACTCTGTCTCAAAAAAAAAAAAGATGGAAAACCAGATCCATCTCCTGAGTTACAACCATTGGTAAAATTCTTCGCAGGCTTTTGTCCTGCCTCCTCCCCAAAGCCCAGAGTGAAGGTCTGACTGCCCTCTCGGCCACCACAGCACTGAGCCTCCGTGTCAATGTCTCCACCATTTAACCGGACACTGCCCGGGCAGCCCCATCACTGTGCACCAGGGTCTCTGCCGGCTTCTGGGAAACAGGGATAAGTGCCTTCGAGCACCCAGATTTTGTCCACCCAACCATCAACCATGCAACCAGCATGATTTTATTATTCTCCAACTTCTCCCACTACTGGTGGTTTTACATTTAAGTAGCCATTGCTCTCTTCTATTATTGTTATTATTATTTTGAGACAGAGTCTTGCTCTGTTGCCCCAGCTAGAGTACCGTGGTGTCATCGTAGCTCACAGCATCCTCAAACTCCTGGCTCAATGATCCTCCTGCCTCAGGCTCCCAAGTAGCTGGGACTACAGGCACATGCCCACAACATCTGGCTAATTTTTCTTTATAGTTGAGATGGGGTCTCGTCTTGCTCAGGCTGGTCTTGATTCCTGAGCTCAAGCGATCCTCCTGCCTCGGCTCCCAGAGTGCTAGCATTGCTCTCTTTAATTAATCAGACCCTATCTGCCAATGCTGCCTCCACCATAACCCTCCCGTGTTACCACCAGAAGTGATACCGTTTCATGCATAAGCAGAGAACATTAGTTTTAGCTAGCCTGTGACACCCTAGGCAACTTCCATTGGCTTTTGATAAACTGGTTAGTTTGTTGATGATTCCTTTCCCATCAGCACATCCAAGCTGGAGCCCCAGCAAGGCCCAAAATGAGAAAGTTTCTATGTAGGCTCTAGTGCATGCTGTGACGTCCACAGTGTGGCAGGCTGTTTGCATTTCCACCAGGTGAATTCTCTGGTATGTCCTGTCTGACTATTGGGGGACGGTGATTCACTCTGTCATTCATTGAAGTCACCAACGTCAGAATACTCAGCTTTCCAAACAACCAGTGATACCAACAAAACGTAAGGGCGCTGTGATCTCAGCCAAGTATAAACACCTCTGCGTGCATGGGCACCAGTGAGGGGAGAGGAGGCACAGGTCTTACACAATTCGCAAGTTTTTTTCCTAAATAAATACAACCTGAGGACATCCATTTCAATGGCCCAACACTTCCCCTGAAAAAGCAGCTTAAAATATGGGTACATGGCCAGGTGTGGTGGCTCACACCTGTAATCCTAGCACTCTAGGAGGCTAAGGCATGAAGATTGCTCAAGGTCAGGAGTTCGAAACCAGCCTGAGCAAGAGTGAGACCACGTCTCTATTAAAAAACAGAAAGAAATTAATTGGCCAACTAAAAATATATAGAAAACATGGGCATGGTGGGCGCATGTGCCTGTAGTCCCAGCTACTCGGGAGCTGAGGCAGAGGATTGCTTGAGCCCAGGGTTTGAGGTTGCTGTTGAGCTAGGCTGATGCCACGGCACTCTCGTCTGGGCAACAGAGTGAGACTCTGTCTAAAAAAAAAAAAAAAAATACGGGCACACATCTTGCAGTTTATGGTCTCAGGTTAGGCTCAGAAGGTGCTTGTTCTAGGCTGGGCCTAACTGTGGAGATACCCCCATGTTCTGTTCTCTGTTTGGGGCCTGCACCTAGCCTGAGTCTCCCCCAGGAACCCCCACTAGAGACACCTGATGCTGCTCCGGGAGACCTGTCCTCACTGCCTCTCCCTTTTGCAGCCCAAAGGGAAGGGTGTTCAGGACTCTGTAGCTCTGTGTCCATCCCTTGCAGACAGCTTTGTCCTCTGACACCAGGTACCACCACAGGCCCATTCCCAACGGGCACAGAAAGGGTACTTATGACCCCGAGGCAGCTCATCTGGGGCAAAAGGAGATAAACTGAGGCACAGCTGGCACGTGGGTGGGAAGCACTCTCCCTTTAACACTGCCAAGAGGCAGAGAGCCCCTAAGAATGGAGCAAGGAATGCTGGTCCCCTGTCCCCAGTTATTCCCTGGGCCCTGGGCCCCTAGGGAGCAGGAGGGTGGACAGAACACCATTTATCTTCTCTTTGCAGCCAAGGTTCAGAGGTTTGGGTCCATGTTCTCCTGGTCTGAGGCTGCCTCCTCCTCATTTGGGGACTCCTGGAATAGAGCGAAAGCAGCCATTCATGGGCTTGTGCTGTTCCCAGGGCACATCCTGGGGGCCAACGTCTCTCTCCTCCTGCCTCTGCCCCCAGAGGAGCCAGTAGAGGGCTCTGCATCCCCACCCAGGTCCCACCTGGCCTTCCCTCTGTCCTCGCTCCCAGCCACCCATGGCCACAGGGACCCTCCAGTAGGTGACTCCCTCTTACCAGACTGAGGCCCCTGTCCCGCCGCAGGGTGGCATAGAAGTGCAGCACACGGGGGTCACAGCGAACCACCATGGGGTCAAAGTCCAGCACACGCAGGCCCTGCAGGCTGCGGGCCCGGGACAGGGCCACGTAGGCCTGGCCGCTGGCAAACACACGGCCCAGAGAGATCTCCACACAATCCAGGGACATGCCCTGGGGGATGGAGGGACAGAGATGGAGCCAGCTCAGCCTGAAGTCCCTTGCCCTGAAGAACCTGACCCTTCACCAATCTGGCTACTGCCCCTGGATCTCCTCACCCCATCCAGACAAGTCTTAAGACAGAGGGAGAATGTGACAGCGGACGGTTGTCTGAGTAGGAGGGGGACCAGCAGCTGCCGCTCTTGGATAAGAGTTGAGGGATGGGGGTGAAGGGAAAGAGCTCAAGCTCTGGGTCAGAAGGTGTGGAGCTTGCCACCTACTAGCTGTGTGACCTTGACAAGTTCATTAACCTCTGAGTCTTGGTTTCTTCCTCTATAAAATAGGAATGATTATTAATTACTCTACACTGCATACAGTTGTAGGAATTAAATTTAGTGTATCAGTGGCTCAGAAAATGGTAGGGCATTCTGACCTATAGAAGCAGAAAAAAAAACCCAAACAAAAAGAAAATGGTGGGGCAGGAAATGGCAGAGGGGAAGTGAACGTGTCCAGGAAAGGGAGAGAAGGACTGGACTGGGAAGTTCACTAAAGAAAGGTTTATTCTACTCCTGGCCTGGAACTTTCCATCTAGGGCAAGCTCAACCCCCATAAAGCCTTCAAGACACATGGAGCCCTGCGTGCCCACGGCATACCCTGTCCATTCCCTGCCCTGCCCTGTCCCCACCCCCACACCAGGTGCTCACTTGGCTCTTGTGGATGGAGATTGCCCAGGCCAGCTGGAGGGGCAGCTGCTGCCGGCTGAGGAGCTGGCCCCCGGTGGCCTGCACCGTCCAGCGGTCAGCGCGGATGACCTCAGTGACTCCACACAGGAACCGCACCTGCGGCAGCCCTGAGGAAGCATGGAGAAGGCCAACCTTTCAGCCCTGCTGAGCTCAGAGGTGAGGAGCAGGGGCTGTTGGGCATTTCTTCCTTGCCTACTCCTCACCCACTTACCTGGGGCCCTGCTGCACACCCAAGCAGGACTGCCACCTCCCCCCGTCACTCACCTCTCCCTTCGGCCTCGAACCCGACTACCACCCCTCGGGCGCCATTCACCAGGCCCCGGGACACCGCCAAGTTCTTCACCAGCATCACCTGCGAGGCAATGAGGACGGAGGAAGGGAGAGCAGCCTTGTCCCCACAGCTGTTCTCAGAGCTGGAAAGCAGGGGGCTGTCATGACAGGGGCACCACGTCCCGATCCTTAGCTCTGCCACCAGCTCTCTGTGACCCCTGGGGCAAGCTGCCTCTTTGCCTGGGCCTCAGTTTCCCCTTGTGTCAAGGAGTCATAACATTTGCTGAGCTTGCCTCCGAAGGAGGTGGTAAGGATCAGTAAAGTAACCTCTGTCACAGGGCTTTGAGGAGGATAAGACTTGTGAGGGGTACGTAAGTGGGCCATGAGTCTTGAGTGACAGCCCCTGGGTCCCGCCACCCCTCTCTCAGTCACATTGGTTTCCCTTGGGCATTTTTCCCTTGGGTACGATTTTGATCCTGAGGAATATCTCCCCCCATGCCCACCCCAACACCAGGAAGGAATCAGGACTCTCACACCTATAAGGTATGTGACATGAGATGGCCATGGAGGACATGTCACTCCCCATTTTACAGATGAGGGGACAGAGGGACAGAACTTCAGCAAGGGAAAGGGACTTGCCCGAGGCAACACTGCTTGGAGGAGCTCCAGGTGCAGGAAGAGGGGAGCAGTGGAAAGCTAAAGACAGAAAGATGGGCGAACAGGAGGGAGGGAGGCTTCAGTGTGGTCAGAGCTCGGGTCACGGGCTACGGAGTGGCCCAGGCAGAGGGGGACAGATCAGGGAGGCCCACGCAGTAGCCCAAGCTTCCAGAGTCTAGACCCTGCGTCCCACTCACCTGGGCCCCCAGCTTTAGCTGCAGGAGCCGGCTAGCAGGACACTGGGCATCCAAGGTCGGGGCTAGCTCAGGGTCACTGTCCACAGCCTCAAAGCTGTGTACCTTATCTGGAAAAAGTAAGGCAGTTGGGCAAACAGGTTACAAATCACTGACTTGTGGCTCAGTGTCCAAAAGCTCCTATTAGACCAGGACATGGGGGATGGGGTAGGGACAACTCAGGCCTAGCTGGGCTTTGGGATCAGTCTACCACACCTCTCAAAGTCACAGTTACTTCTGCAATGTAAGGGCCATAGAGGTTGGGACCTAGATATCCAAATGACCCCATGGCCTGGGCTGCCACACCTGCTTAGCAGCCCCTCCCAAATGGTCTTGCCCAGCCCCAGCTCCCTGCTCACCTGGCAGCTCCTGCAGCCGCCTCTTGTTGGTGAGGGCCACGTCATCCTGGTGGGTGCAGAGCCTTGTGGCCACAATCCCATCCCGCCCTACCTTGTTGTTGGCTGTGGCCCGGAGCTGGCGAGTCACCTCGTCTGAGCACCTGTGGGAGTTAGGCTGTCAGGACGCAGCTGACCCGAACAGCAGGGAAAGTGGGGGACACGGGCAATATGGCCCAAGCAGCAGGCCATGGGTCAGGCCTTGGGACTGGAAAAGGACACCAGGGCAGGACTTGCTGGCCCGTAGGCTGGCCAACCTGTCCCTTCCCACTTGGACCCCAGACGTGGGGAATGAACATGGCATGGTGGTAAGGGTGCTGGGCTGTGATCACAGGTGGGCACCATTCCTGCTGCTGCTCCCAAGTTGAAGCTGGCCACCCTCCCACCCCACAGTGCTGCTGAGGAAGTTGGATATGACAAGTGAGCACAGGCCAGAGGTTTGCAGGACCTGGACATGGGGCTGATGTGGACTCCCTGCAATACTGGGTACCCTGCGATCAGATCAGCCTCGAGGGTAAAATCTTCTAGCCACTTGCCTGCTGCCTTGGGTAAAAAATCCAGCCTATACTTCTATTCTCTCCAATTTCAGGCTTTCTTCCACCTGGAAGACCGGGCATAGCAGCGACTCAAGCGGGACAAGGGGAATAGCATGGAACCATCTCTACCTGCTCTGCCCCTCAGCCTTCTTCTTGTCCCCTATGAGTGCTGGTGTGTGCTGTACCTCTTTCTGTCTGCCTCCTGTGTCTCTGCCAGGGGACCCCAGGCATAGAAAGCCCCTCACAGCCACTCTACCGCACTCATCCCATCCCAATCTGACCTGTCATATGCTCTGGCCCATGTCTTATGCCCTCCTGGCCTACTTTCTACTCCCACGGTAGAGTAGCTGTGGCATTTCAACCTTTTGTCCTAGCTGGGGAGAGAACATGTCTGCAACCTCCCCTCTCCCACCAAGTTGCCCCCTGGGCTCTAAGAGTAGAAAGCCCTGGGGTGTTAAAGTCAGACCACTTACTGCCATGACTTTGGGTAAGTAAACATCTCTGAATGCCTTCTGTGTGTCCATCTGTCTGTCCATCTTTCCTTCCCTGACACCCACTTTGTGCCAGTCCCTGTGCTGGGTGACAGGGACCCAACCCTGAGGGAGGCTGGGTCCCAGTGCTCACAGAGTGGCTTTCTCCTACAGGGCCATGAAGTTCTCGACTACAATCTGCCCTAGGTTGCCCAGTGTCTCGGACAAGGCTTCTCTTCCTGTACAGACTGCTTGTTCTCGAGGACAAGCATCTCTCCCCCTTCCCTGGGTCCCTGTGTTCCACTCTGACCCACGCCTGGATCCTCATCCTGTGGCCCCTTCTTCATCCACCAGGGCCCACCTGCCCAGCCTCACAGCCTGCAGCAGAGAGATGAAGGTCTGGTCTGCCTGTCTCCACACCTGAGTCAGCTCCAGGGTCACTGGGACACACCTCTTCCAGCTCTTGGCCTGGTGGGGGCAGGACAGGGGTGGGTCAGGGAGCAGAGCAGACCCCTATGGGGAAAGGGCCAGGGGGTGAGTGGTACCTGGAAGCAGAACTTGGGGGGCTGGGAGCCCTTTGTCACAGGCGGCAGCTGTAGGAAGTCCCCACAGATGATGAGCTGGATCCCTCCAAATGGCTTGTTCTGTTGCCGAATGGTTCTAGAGAGGAGCATGGGGTGCTTTAGGCGCTAAGGTGGGCGGCTTCCACACAGGAAGAGCAGCCAGCCCCCACCATACACACTGACCTGGCCACGGCCTCCAGCTTGTCAAACAGGTCCGCCTCCACCATCGAGATCTCGTCAATGACCAGCCGCTGGCAGTTGAGCCAGCCCTGCCGCACGCCTGGCCTTTGGGCCAGGGCCACACACTGGGCCAGGGGAGCCTGCCCTGAGCCGATGCCTGTGAGTGACACTATTCAGCCTGGGCCAAGACCCAAGCACCCTCTCAGCCCTGACCACCTCCCTTCCTTCCCACAGGCCTGGCTTGCTCTAAGTTCAAGTCCTAGGGCCCCCACTTACCTGCAAAGGCATGGAGGGTGGTGCCCCCGATGTGGCATGCTGCCACCCCCGTGCTGGCAGTAGCCACAGTGCCTGTAGGGGGCAGTGAGCCCAGGATACGCTTCAGCAGGTATGACTTCCCTGTCCCTGGGCAAAGGGCAAAGTCAGGGCTCCCTGCTCCTCTACCCCACCCCACCTCTGACCTCCTACCCACTCTCTGGCCCCACTACCTGCGCTCCCAGTGAAGAAAATGCTCTGGCCTTTCAGGACGACCCTCAGCACAGCAGCCTGCTCCTCAGAAAGCTGGGACTTGGTGGGGGGCAAGCTCAGCCTCTTCACAGGCAGGGGCCACTTTGGGGCTTCCTGGGGGGTCACAGGGCTGTCTCAGGGCCTCCTTGTACCGGAGGCATCATCCCCACCTTTCCTGGCCCCAAGCAGTGCTAGGCCTGGTAGCCCCTTTTCTCTGCTGGCTTCACGCTTCGGAGCCCTTGGGCATACCTGGCCCAACCAGAGATCTTGCTGGCAACTCTTGGGGTCCAGGTCTCTCCTTGGGCCCTGAAGCCCCTCAGTGTGTGGGTCCGGATCCTTCCTCAGCTCCCTCTCTTGGGTTCCCTAACCCTTCTGGTCCTGTCACTCAACTCTCCTCCTCACTTCTCTATCACAGACCTGTCTCTCACCTCAAAGCTCCCAAGCGAATCCCTGCCTGGCCAAGGCCCTTCCTTGCCCCGTTTCTATCTTCTCGCTGCTTGATCTCAAACCCTGGCAGTCTGTGATCCACCTGCGCTAAGCCACAAACATTGTCAATCCCATCAGACTTTGTCCCCCTCATCTGAGTGCACTGGGGGCTGCCCCAGGCACTGCTGACCACGTCGTTCTCTCCAGAAGCTCCTCTCCTCCGGGCTTGCTACACGCTCCTAGCTTTCCCTCTGGAGTCTCCTTTCCAGGCCTCTTCTGCCCTCTCTTTTCTTGTGGCCTGGGGCCGTTTCCTGTTTTCAGGCACCCGGTCTCTGGGGTCACACTATGAGAAGCACAGGTGCAGCTCCCACACCTCCGTCTCGCTCAGATGCCCGATGGCCACCTCCTCTGAGACAGACGGCAGCCCCTTCAAGTACCCACACCGGCTTCCCCAACCTTGGGCCTCCTCGGTCTCTTCCATGTTAGGGAGTGACACACCCATCCCACAGCGCTCCCTTTCCTGTCCTCACAGTGCCAGGTTCGGCCCCAGTCTGGGGCTCCGCGGGCCGCTTCGCCAGCGTGGTGTCCGGAGCCCGGGTGGCCGCCCCGCGCCGCAGCTCCTCGGGCTGCACGGGGCTGACGGTGACGAAGTCGCGGGGCCGCGGGCCGAGCAGCTGTGCGCGGGCGGAGGCCGGCGCGGGCCCCGGGGCCGTGGCTAGCTTGAGGCGCAGCGTGCGCAGGAAGCGGCGCAGGCGGTCCGGCGGGCAGTCGGAGAGCAGCAGCTGCACGGCGCCGGCCCCGGGAGCGCCGTGGGCGGGGACCCGCAGCGTGCTGCGCCCGGCCGCGGCGAAACGCGTGAAGAGGCGCGCGGCGCGCAGCGGGAAGCAACGCGGCCGCTCCGCCGCGCCCGGCGCCCGCAGCCGCAGCATCAGCTCGCGGCGCTCGTTCCGCCCCAGGCTCAGCTCGGCGCTGCGCAGGGCCCGGCGTCCGCGCGGCTGCCCGCCCGGGCTCAGCTCCTCCACGGCCACGCGGCACCGCAGCTCCGCGTCCTCGCAGTCCGCCGTCGCCGCGCCCGAGAGCATCGCCACCGCCTCCGGGGGTCTGCGAAGAGACCGGGGCGCAGGGGTCACGGAGGTTCAGGGCACGTGCAGGGGTACAGAGGCCGTGACGGGAAGCCCGGTCAAGGCCACATAGGATGATGGAGGCTGTCGCTGGTAACCCGAGGAAGCCATAGAGACGGTGAAAGAGCCCTAAGGCTACCCGAAAACCCGCTGTTAGAATGCACCCTGCCACGCAACGTTGCTGGAGCAGCGGATGGGCACCCAGGAGTGGGGGGTCTCGGCTGTCCCGCAAGGGCCGCATTAGAAGGGGAGGGGGGTCCCTCCGCAGAAAAGCCTGCTTCCAAGAGACAGACCCAGCGCCAGCAAGGGAATCCTCAGGTCCTGTCCCCGGGGAGCAGGAGAATTGCACGTGGGGAGATGGGAAGGGAAAGACAAGTAATGAGCGCCTTCTGTCTCCCGGGTACTTTCGCTGGTTTATATGCAGCCAGGTCTCACTATTTCCTGTGTACACAAGTGGAAACGGGCTGGGAGAGGCAAACCCACTCGCCCTTCATCAGCCACAACGGCTAGTGGGGGTCAGAGTCGGTGTGAGACCCACGCCCTGGCGCTTCCCACTTGCAAGGTGGGGATGGGGTGGAGACTATCTGGCTAGGGAAATTGTGGGGAGATCCCGGGGTCCAGGAATCCGTACTCCCTCAGTCTGACCCACTCCTCTGCCCCCTCCAGACTGGGACCCCTAGAGATATCAGGCTTTCTGCTTCCCACCTCGGGGCTCGGGCAGACACTCACTTGTTCGGGGACTTGGATGAACAAGCTGATCAGAGCCGGCTTGCTGGCGAAACTACGACACTGGGAACTTTCAAATTCTAGGGCTAGAAAATCAGCCTATCGCCGGCTGGATATTTAAATTTTCCAGCCAACCAGAGGCAGGGGCGTGGCGATGGGCGTGTCTTTAGGTGTTTTTTTTCCAACTGAAGACACGCCTGGAGCTTGGGCTGTACCAATCGCACACCAGAGGAAGGAGGTTCAGTTGTGGCGGCGAGCCCACCGAGTCGAGGGGATGAATGGGAGTGGTGAGAGGAGGCTGGGGCCACCCCTGGGTGGCTGGACTTGGCCTTGGGGAAAAGCTATCTCGGGTCCCTCACAGCCCTGTTTCCACTCACGGTTCAAGCTTCCACTCCTGGGCAGACCACCCCAGGCCTGCCCAGGCCGCTGCACCTGCCCCGCACCTATTCTCCCTTCTCTGCCTTTGTAAATGGCATTTACGCATTTGTCTTTCCCACTCTGCTTAAGGTCCGTAAGTGAGAAACTCAGACCTGTGGCAGGGTACAAAAGAAGCGTGAGAGTCCCTGTCTCCAAGGAATTCTTGTCCTTCTTGTTGCACTGTATACTCAGAAAATTTATTTTTAATTATCTTTTTTCCCTCCTAGAAGCTTGGAATTACATAGCTGGAAGGGCTCTTAACAGCTGAATCCAGCTACCTACCACATTTTATAGATAATCATGGAATAAATTGACCTCGTTTTTCAAAGGAAAAAACTAAGGCTCCTGGCCGGGCGCTGTGGCTCACGCCTGTAATCCTAGCTCTTGGGAGGCCGAGGCGGGCGGATTGCTCAAGGTCAGGAGTTCAAAACCAGCCTGAGCAAGAGCGAGACCCCGTCTCTACTATAAACAGAAAGAAATTAATTGGCCAACTGATATATATATATATAAAAAATTAGCTGGGCATAGTGGCACATGCCTGTAGTCCCAGCTACTCGGGAGGCTGAGGCAGAAGGATCACTCCAGCCCAGGAGTTTGAGGTTGCTGTGAGCTAGGCTGAGGCCACGGCACTCACTCTAGCCTGGACAACAAAGTGAGACTCTGTCT